TTGTGATAAGAGTTGTATAAGCCCCCAATAAAATAAGAAAAAAAAATCACTCAATCAATAAAGCCATGGATACACTTGTGACCACAGGAAGTGTGTACAGAGCAAACCCAGAGCGTCCTTCATGCCAGAGCCTGCCTGGGTGCTCCATCCATCAGCCAGAGAGGGCGGGCAGCGTGCTGGGCCCCTGGGTGAAGTTAGCAGCAGAGTCCAAATGGCCACGAGCGACACTGTCCACACACCCCTGTCTGGACAGAAGTGGCAAGATGCAGCCTCGAGGGAAGCGTCTCTCAGAGGTGAGCTGCTGAGCCGCCTCTGGGGAGCCGATGGCCGCCCTACTGGTCCCCAGTGCAGACCAGACCAGGCAGACACCATGGGCTGGTCAGCATGTGGGCAGGCTCATTCCCAACACCAGGAGGGGCGTGCTGTCCTGAAGGCAGGAAGGACCATGCGAGCCCTTCTCTGCACATCTAGACAGTGCTGAGACGCGCGTGCTAGCAACTGATTGGGTGCCATTGTGAGACGGGAGATGGCCTGGCACCACTGTCAGCCATGACTTCTCTGGCCTCACAAGGTCCCAATACCTGAACATTGACCCCAGGACATCAGTCCCACCCCCCTGTACTCCTCCTTCCCTGTGAAAGGCCAACAGCCAAGGAATGGAATGGAAAGAGCAGGAGGTGGGAAGATGCCACTGTCCATACCTGCAAGTCCACCAGGTGGGCCATGGACTTCCCTTGAAGGCACAGCGCCTGTGCAATCAGAGCGTGCAGGTCCTCCAGGCAGAGGGTGTCCACCTGGGCAGAGAGGGGAACGCAGCTTTAGGATGAGTCAGGCATGCAGGTCCACTTAGATCTTCAGGTAACAAGAGACAAAACCCAAACCAAACTCACTGCCTGGTGACCCCAGAGGACAGGGCGGAGCTGCCCCCGGGGGCTCCTGAGACTGAAACTCTTTACAGGAGTAGGAAGCCCCATCATCTCCCGAGGAGTGGCTGGTAGTTTTGAGCTGCTGACCTTTCGGATCACAGACCAACACATAACCACTGGTAACCGGGTCTCCTCCACAAAAGACAGGTGGAGGAGATGCGGAGGGAGGTAGACAACCTTCCCATGGTGCACAGCGTCTTAGGCTCCCAGCAGACTGGCTCGCTCTATCCTCTCCAGCTATGGAGAAAGTCCCAGAGTGTGAGTCATCACGAAGGCCAGCCAAGTCTGATGTTTAGAAAGCGGTCTGCCAGAGCTGACGATACAGCAAAGGCTTTCTAGGGGTAGAGGTCTCAACGACAGGGTGGGCCTGGTGATGAGGGAGCGACAATGCTCTCCCACATCCCCGGTGAGACATGTCATCGGTCCCCAGAGCATATGCCTCCTTGTGGGGTCCCTCTGTGGGGTCCGAGCAGAGCAAGGGGTGAGGGGCAAAGGAGCGTGCCAGAGGAGGCTGTGGCCACTGGTAGTACTGCTCGCAGGGGAGTGGATGGACTGTCAGCAGGTCAAACAGACTCCAGGAAGTCAGAGCAGGAGGAGGGTAAGGCAGGGTGCTGGGGAGGGGTTCCAGCACAGGGCAGAGTGATTCTGAGAGCAGCGAATGGACAGGGTGAGGGGGGTACCCCAAGAGTGCAGAGGACAGGGCTGGGGCAGGGGGGCCACAGAGGATGGACAGAAATGGGAAAAAGACATGAACAGATAATTCACCAAAATGACGTACAAATGGCTAACAAGCCCATGAAAAATACTCATGAGCACAAGCCACCAGGGAAATGCAAATTAAAACCTCAATGAAAGAACACTTTACACCCACAATGCTAGCCCATATGAAAAAAACAATAAACAAACAGCCACTGTGGAAAATGACATGTTGTTATTTAAAGCGACTGGGAATTGCAATCCCACTATTAGGCACATACTCTACAGCAGGGGTCCTCAAACTTTTTAAACAGGGGGCCCGTTCACTGTCCCTCAGATTGTTGAAGGGCCAGACTATAGTTTAAAAAAAAAACAACTATGAACAAATTCCTATGCTCACTGCACTTTTTTTTTTTTAAGGGTGGAGACACCCAGTCATGGACACGGCGGCCTGCTGGGTCTCCTTGCTTTAATAGTTTCCAGCCGATCAGTTCAGAGAGTTGGAGAGGGTGAGGCGGGAGAGGGTGCGGCTGCCACCAGGAGCTCTGGACAGACTCTCCTGGGGCAGGCTTGGGCAGGTACAGACTGTGGGACAAGACCTCCCAGGCCCCACCGGACACTGGTAGGAAGACCATGGATCAGTGGCTGCTCTCCCACACAGATGGAGACCTGGGGCTCAGGGGTTGTGCCCTGGGCCTGC